ATTCTTTATTATTCCTTTTCCACCTTCTAGGTCTTTTTATATCCTTATTTTCCTTCTCTCTTCTCTCCTTCTTTCTCCCGCGCTCTTTCATCTTCCCTTCCCCTTATTTACTTAATTTTCACTCCTTCTCTTCGTGACACTTGGTTAATTGTTGCTCGATTGCATTCTCTATTGGACACACGTTTGCTCACTATCTCTTTTTCACCAGAAGTCCTAATTGAATAATATAAAATTAAAATGTAGAAGTTTACATAAAAATATAAGTGTATAAGTATACTCATATAAATATAACTGCACACAAGATATAATTACTAAATATAGGAATTATAATGTAGGAGAGACCGGGGTCAGTTGACTAATATAGGGGTAAGTAGAATAATCGAGGCTACATTAAAAATAAAACGCAAGACACGCACAAACGTGTCTGAGCACACAGCAGCAATTACCGCTAAGTTTGCTATAATATCTTGTTGCGAACACATTTATGATAGAAGTTATACCACAATGTTAAAAAATTATACACCTAAATAAACATTTTTATTCTTAAAGTTTTTATTTTATTATCGTATATGATTGTCTAAAATATTTTTAGATAGTAAACCTACTTAGATAGTAAGTGTAGTTCTTATTTAATAAAATCCAATAGATTTTTTTGTTTATGTGCCTTTGTTATCGTATATTGTTAATGTTTTTAAAAAATGAACGAATGGGAATAGTAGACTAACCACAGCATGGATGACTGTATGACTCATTTGGTGACTTTTATAGTACTTACTTACAATTTTTTTCCTTTAAAGAGATTTTCTTCAGTGGTAAATATTATTATATAAGTTTAGTTCCCTCATATTCAATTTCTAGGCTCATTCGACGTGTTTCTGCACAAAATGAATAAATTTTGCAAAAAGAATTGTTTTGCCTTGCAAAAGCAAATGTTTGTGTTTAAAATATATTTTTATAAAAGTTTTATTAATATGTAGCCAAAGATGTAGCTTAAAACACATTATCTTTATTTTAATAATCTTAGTCGAATTACCCCGCTCTCGGGACTAGTTGAATCAGATAGAATGCATTTTTTTTATATTGGTTATTAGTTTCCCCTTATTATTAAAATATTATTAGATAGTCAAATATATGTAATAACTGATGTAGAATTTTTTTCAATAAGTCTCTTAATTTCATTTGTAAAAATTCGAAACTGGAAAATGATTCTGTTAATCTCGGTCTACAATATGTAACATTTATACAAATGTGTGCTATATATAATTGTACAATTCTACTGTGTATAATACTCTATTGCAGTGTAATAATATTACTTAAAAATAGTACTGCAGTAAAGTATTATACACCGCAATATTGTAAAGGTCTAATATAACATATAATAAAAATAGTTAAAAATATATAATAAATTACTTAATTTTAATTAAAAATACGTATTTATTTTTTAAGTTCTATCACGTATGTTCTGAACAAATCAGTGGGCAATATTTCATTTGTGTGTGTGAGTGTGTGTGTGTGTGAATGCGTGTGTGGATGCGTGCGTGTGTGTAAACTAAATATATAATTTAAACTAAAATCTAATTCACTGTAATAATCTAATCCAACAGATAATAATTGTTTGAAATTATTTTTAAACTATCGTAATGGAAGTTTAATAACCATCTTTTGTAACTGAATTAATATGTACAGAAAAAATTTATATATAATAACATTGATATAAATTTATATAACATTGATATGTTAAATTGCAATCATATTTTATACTGTAAACATTGTAACATTACATAATTACATGCATAATATATAATAGTTTTCATATCATAAAAGTAACTTGTGTTGTATTATTCGTTATAAATTTTCACGTTATAAACTGCAACAAACTGTGTTTACTGAGTTACGTTTGATTTAATATCCATCGACATTGTGAAATGGTGAAAAAACTGTATACGTTGCTAATAATTGAAAATGTCATGGCATGTTAAATTAAATCCAAATAAATTCATTACGCCGGACAGTCGATTTGAACATGTTTACATGAACTTAATAGGTTCGTTACCCGAGTCCGACGGTTACAAGTATTGTGTAATTATAATCATCGACTGATTTTCTTGCTGACCAGTAGCGGTTCCTCTTAAAGATATTGAAGCTACAGTTGTTCACTGCGTTCTATGAGAACTGGATTGCAAATTTCGGAGCTCCTAAGATTTTGATTATCGATCAGTTTGTTACAATTACTGCTTTTGATCGTCTTATAGGCCTAGGCACTCACATTGGTCTCGACACCAACGCATCGACCGCAAAATTTATTATGAATGATATTACGTATCCTCAGAGAATTTGTCTTTCCGGATGCTTTCACTCCTAATCCTCACGTATTTATTGAAGAATTTCACGAGCATATGCGTAAGGTCAAACCGATTCCAATGAAGTATAAACATAAAAAGCATTCAGTTTCAAAGATTTATTTTCATGCACACACGTTTTTCTTTACATTGGGAGCACTAAAAAATCGTTAGAGCGATCATACATCGGCCATCATCAAATTATTAGTAGAGTATCCGATCGCGTCTTCAGTATAGATATATAGAAACGATACCAAGCGTAACGTATCCATCAAAAATTTAAAATCAGTATATTTCGTATCTGACGACCTAAGCAATATATATTTATATACACACTACAGAAAAAGGACAAGTACTCAATCCGATCAAGCGACGTACGCCCAGCATTAAAAACTTATGCTCCTCACAAAAAAGTTACTTTTATCCTATAAAGCAAGCAATTTCTCTCTGCAATAGTTATCAAGATAATGTTTTCCGCAAACGATACGTAACAGCGTATTTTAGATATAAGTTTTAGCAATAAAAATATATCTGCGACTCTTTCAGTATTAAGTAATTTATATAAAGAAATAAAATGTCTTAAAATTCGTTGTCACTCGAAGGGAAGTATGTGGGGAACTGTGTCTGCCATTTTCTCTAGTGTACGGAGTGGAAATCTAGGGTTTTTGGCGCGCTAGCTGCGTGCAGCCGTCCTGATTCTTGAGCGGCAGATTACTTTTGGTGGTCGTCATGAGCGTCAGTCTCTATTCTTAATAAAGTATTATTATACATCACAGCTAGTTACGAAAGTAATTGTATGTTTCTTTTCGCATGTCAATTACTACGGACGTGGATCCGTCTTGGAGAACGGCATTACAAGTGCACATTCCCACACACGTCGAGACACTTAGTCATCATTTTATATGATTCTGCATCTAGCGAGTTAAAAAAAAAATAATTATATGGAATTTCATCTTTTTATGGAATCTCGCGTATATATGTTTCTATTTTAAATTCATCTCAAGATTTATTTAGTTTAAACTCCGACGATCTAATTAAATCCTATGTATAGTGTATGTGTATACAACTGTTTGTGTCTTTGTCGTATTCAATTTTTTTTTCTCGGCACTGAGGATTGTTTAATCCCGTAATAATCGTTTTTCGCAATCACGTCATAAAATATTGTTTGAGATATTCATCTGTGCGCTAACATTTGTTATCTTATTGATATTGCTTCGCTATTTTACGTAATCCCCCTTATTCCGTCGTTTATGACGGAGTCAATCTTTCTCTCCTCTTGATAAATTGCATTTGTTAGTAGTGAGTTACATATTTACAGAAAACGGGAAAAACATCACGATGTTCAACTCATCTTAAAGAATCTAGCTATAGCGTTCCGATTTCACAATTTTACTTGTCGTGTACTTGAATGTAAGTGTGTTCTATAAAATAGAGCGTTCGGCAATATTTAAGGATTCTAAATTCTATGATAAAAATAAAATAAAAATTAAGACTAATGTAATAGTAGCGGATTTTTTATTTTTTTATCCAAATATTCAAATATTCATGTGCTTAATTTAAACACTTATATCTTTACATAAATATTTAAACAAGAATTATAAAATCAATGACAACATTTCAGTAGAAAGTTCGTTTTATTAATATGAATGTTTATTATATAGATGTCTAAATATTCTGCATGTACTTTAGACATTTATAATTAATAAATGTATAGTCTTCACTAAAATTTTGTTATTTTTGTATTTGTAATTCTGTACGTTTAAATTTTCACGTGAAAAATGTCTAAAGTATATATATATATATAAAATATAATATTTAAACATTTAAACATAATGTAATATTTAAACATTTGTAATTAAAAAACGAAATGTCCTCCGCAAATTTGTTATTCTTGATTTCTATCTTTTTTTATCTATAATTATTCTTTTTTTCTCTCATTTATTGCCATGACGAACATCCTGTATATTCTAATTTTTGTATGTTGCATTCTGATTCCTTAATCTATAGTACAATTCAATCTATAAAATACATTATGTACAGTTATATAAATAAAATCCTGTCCTAAAAATTCTATTTGCAGATCGTTTGTGCTTTAGATGATTTATAAATCGCGCTTTATTTTTAGAATAATCAAATTTTATTTGCAATCTTAATATTTTATGTATTTTAACGGTTTGTGTACATTTAATATACTTTTTATGTTTTATGTGTATATTTTGAATCCCTAAATGTTTTTTATTTCAATATATTCGATATAAAATCACAACTTCTGGAATTCCATTCTGAAAGTGAGTTATATACCTATATCTGACAGAATAGCAATCTTATATAATCGAAAAATAATTTCAGTGTTTTCCTTATTATACATAATGTTTTATCCTTATCGCCGTTCACTTAATAGCTCTTCGTCGCGCTGTCATTATCTCACGGCAATATGAATTTTCATAATATATGTAAACTTACGTCAGCTTTTCCGACTAATTCGTACTCCGGCGGAATGCTTTAATCTCCGAAGTATACATTTGTCCGCGCACAGTCCGCAAGTGATTGAACTAGGTAACTTGGCTCTTACAGAACGGACCAACATTTCGTCGCTGTTTGATGAACTTGTCTTATTACACGAAATTGACGAGGAGGTAAAAGCCGCATGCAGATCGTACGTATGAAAACAAGCCAATGCGAGTTTTGAGCGACTGAAGACAGATCCTGAGATTGGCAATATAAATGGGACGAAAGGTATTCGAGAGAAGATTAAAGAATAGAGGAAAATGAATATAAGAGAATATAACAATAAAAGTGACGTTTAAATGGCACGAATTTCATTTTTCATAAAGTTTTCTTGTTAATTTACAATATCTATAGTATATTGAAAGTTATATTAATATATTGAAAGTTAAATTAGAGTTAATTTATTAATATTCTTTTCCTAATAGCGATTATAGATTGCGACAATTCTTGGAATGAGTGGTGAATAATGTTCGAGTATACAGGGTGTTTGATGAGACTTCTGCCAAACACTTTTTGTAGATAATGCAGACTAAACTGAGTTGAAAAATTATCTACTATTTTGCAACTTTTGCGATAGTTAACAAGATATTAATTATTAAAAATCCCTGAATATTGGTTTTCAATAATTTTTTACTCAAATACTATCAACTTTGCAGAAAAATAGTGAAAGACAAAAAATTATTTAATTTTTTTATAAAGTTCTGAGAATTTGTTTTAGTACCGGATTTTCTTATATATTGATAAAAATAGTTGCCAATATACATATATACAGGTATATATAAGAAAATTCAATACTAAAAATTGACAAAAACTTCTGAAAAAATTCTTAGAGCTTTATGAAAAGAAAATAAATAATTTTTGTCTCTTGTTGGTTTTTTATAAAGTTGATAGTACTTGAGTAAAAAATTATTGAAAATCAATATTCGATAATTTTCAGTAATTGATATCTTGTTAATTGTTGCAAAAATTGTAAAATGATAGAGGACTTTTAGACTCAGTTTAGTCTGCTCTACCCTTATGCGAGAGTTTTGTCATTATTTATCGAACACCCTATATATATATATAAAGGTCATATAATGTTAAAATAATGTTAAAATGAATCGAGACTGACCGAAAAGTAACTACTCTTAATGATCATTTTGAAGTCATTTGATATTATAATGATTTATTCTGCTTGTATAATGTAGCATACTGCGTCTTAGTCGATCAATTCTTAACTGACTTTTATAGATATAATTTCATACGGTTGAAATATCTATTTGAAAATTTAGCCAGATACAGATAAAAATAATAAAGTTAGATCATCAAAATAATTAATTATATTGGATGCTCAAGCTGATGGGATATCAAAATTTTTTGCAAAACTTATTACTATGATATTTGAACATTTTTATAATTAAAGCCTCTTAACTTATATTATGGAATAATAAGGAGGGATGGGAGTTATATTGGCATAATATTATTGATATTTTACTTATGTTCAATTTCTTATTAATAATATTGTCGACGAACAACAAATATTATATTTGAATTCTCGAGAATTAAATAATATAAATCTCAAAACAAGAAAATAAAAGTAAAATTTGCGCGATAATTCGTGTGCTATTCAACAGTTTATATTTTTAAGCTTACATATTTTAATTTTACAAAATTAGATGTTTTTACTTCCTTTGAGTCATTTTCAATGATGTCTATAACTTATAAAAATTTAATTACAATAATCAATGTATCTGTAAATGAAATTCATTTCACATATGTAGAGCTTGTTTCATTACTATCTTAAGGAGTGAAAACGTTCATTGATTCTTCAGTTAAATAGATGAACGAGTGTAATAACATATTAATACAAATTAAATTGATTACTGAGCAAAAAAAAAATAAATCAACTTACCCGCAAGTATGACTAATTGTGAGGACAATATAAAAAATACGTAGTAGATGTATTATAGTTAATAATATTGAATTATAATATCATTCTTTATATTTAAAATATTTTTTATACCGCTGAAAGGTGTTGGATTACTTAAAAAATTACATTCAGTTTTGTCAGATCCGTTCATGTTAAGAAATTGTATATTTTTAACATAACTAATTATATAATTTTGCTTATTTTAAATTTTTGGTCTTATTTGTTACATTATTGTAGCTACGTAATTATTTTGATAGTCCAACATAATTATTTTTAATCTATATTTAGCTAAATTTTCAAATATTTCAATAAAATCGTTTGTTTTGTTTATAATATTTATAACGTTTTAAACAAATGATATTCATGAATCATTTGTGGATAAATAAAAGCTTTTACCAACTTTATACTCTTCTCTGAAAAAGAAAATAGAGACTATAAAAGATTATATCGAATCGGTTATTGCTATAATGATGTTTCAGGTATCGTACACGATCTCGAGTGGCATAACGAATCATGCCTTTATCGTAGACCATTCAATAAATCAGAATGAAATTAATGGATCTACCTATGAAATTAATACGGTAATTATCCTTTATGAAAGCAATAAAAAATTCTGAAATAATTATAGGAAAAAAGTGGTTTCAGTCGAATTGGCTAAAACTGTGATATTTTGTAAATTGTGAGAGGTAAGTATGTGTGTGTGTGTGTGTATGTAAGTGTGTGTGTGTGTGTGTGTATGTGTGTGTGTGTGTGTGCGATCAAAATTTTTCTTAGGCAATACCAAAATGGACAGAATTTGCTTTAGCGTCATTTGAAAATTGCTATTTTAGCCCGGATATAATTGGATTGAAAAGCATTATTATATACTAAATAACTAATTCATTTTTTTGGAAACTATTTAATACTTTTATGCACGAAATAATGAAATGAATCAATTAATGTACAGAAAACATGTAATTGTTTTTTTAAAAAAAGCAATTTGCAATATACATATTTTTTTAAAGCAACTGTGTATTTTTTTACATTAATTAGTTAATTTCAAAATTAAAGAAATAATGAAAATCGGCCTTTAATATAAATAAATCAATGAAATCTAAGAATAAATATACGATGTTCAAGTATACAGTAATTACGTTTTATTCAATTAATAATTAAGAGAATTCTAAAGTTGTCTATAAAGTTGTCGACTAAACACATATCATTTTTATATAACAATTACTTTTTTTCTCTTTCACAGATTCGAAAATCTTTTTTATCTCCAGGATTAAAGTACTCATTAATGCGTATCTGTGAGATAGAGTTTATGTTGAAATCGAAATAAAAAATTTCGAAATTGACATTTTTTTTTACTATTTCTTAATTCAATATGGCGCTCCGCACATCCGGGGAAAAATGTTTTATATAAAATTATATATAAACTTATATAAAAAAAATTAATAAATAGTAAGCCCAGGTTAACAAATTCAACGAGCTATAGTTAGGTGTTACAAAGTAACATTTTTTATTCACAAATTATAATTTTTGACGATAAGTTTCACTGATACGTTTCGATTATACTTAGTTCTCATCGGCCACAGAAATATATAATTATCCCATATATCAAAATTATATTAATTATATTATATTATTTTAATCATATTATGATGAAAATCATTTCACTTTCGAGTTAATAATAGACGTATAACATAAGCATATTATATTTAGTCAAATTTGTTAAATAATAGACGATGTAATGATAAGTTATGAATCCAAACCACTTCATCGATTAATAGTGAGAAAGGGCAGTCAGTATGAGCAAAAGAAGAAAATTCCGGTCGTATTATTGATATCAATTGATATCAAATTATAAGGTGGTTGTATACATTCTTAATAATATTAATAGATAGACTAAAAATATCGTCAGATTATGTCAGAAATTGAAGCTATAAAAAGATTACAGATTGTAACTTGAACATATCTTTAACAATTAAAACTATATAGGTAAAACAATGATAATTTATAATTAAAATATTAATAGAAGATTGCAATACAAAGAGCAAAAAACTTCGATTCCTAAGGCAGAATTTATATATGCAATTGAATTTGTTTCATCTTCAATATGTAATACAAGTATAATGTATATTAAATTCAATAATGTATATTAAATTCAATTTATAAACAGACGTTTATTATAAATAAACGTTTGATACACCAATGGGTTCTCCTCTCTCTGCCATTGTAGATATATTGTTCTACAGGATTTTGAAGAAAAAGCTTTAAATATGCTCAATGTTAATTTGCCATTTTACTATCCGTATTACGTGGATGATAAAATTATGCCGCCCCCTCTCCTCCTGATCAGATTTTCTATCCATAAGTCTTTTAAATCAATAGCATATATTGTATTTACAATCGGTTACAATTTATTGAATGTGAAGAGAACCATAGTATAAGTTTTTTGGACTTGTTGTTTGAAGTGGAGAATAGTGCGATAACTGGTTTTACCGACGGCCTGGTTTAAAAAAAAAAGACATATTCGGGTAGATACCTTTCTTATTTGTTTAATTATTCATTATGTGTCATAAGATTGGTACCGTATATAGTCTAGTGGATCGAACAATTTTGTTATCACATCCTAAGTTTTACGAAAAAAACTTAGAAATGTGCATTCAAATTTTTCTAAACAACGGATATCCGTTAGATTTAATATTTAAATTATTTAATATAAGAATAAAAAAGTTGCTCTCATAAATTCACAAGAATGATGACAACATTCCCATTAATGATAAAGTAATTTCTAATAAGAAAAAATGTGTTGTATGTCCATTTATCCGCAGTGTCACACAGTCAGTCACACGCATGATTAATAAATTAGTCTATAGTATAGGTTACAGATGCATCAACAAATTGAACAAAGCGCAAAAATTTTATAAAAGCGCAAAAAGACAAAAAAGTATATTTTGACAATAATAATGTAATTTATAAGATTCGATGTAATACTTGCGACGTTTCTTATGTGGGGCAGACGATTATAACGGAACATGTATTGCAATATAATTATAGTTTTGATTGGAAGAATGCCAGAAAAATAGATACTGAATCAAATTATAATAAAAGACATATTTCTGATGTATTGTATATAAAATTACAAATGGTATAAATTTGAAAAAAGACGCCGAATTTCTACAATAGATGACATATATTATCTGTTAAATTTAATTTCGAATAACAACAAAAACAGCGCTTAATTTTTTTGTTCTCTTGACATTCTAACATATATGAGGTATCATTTGCGTTTATACTCTCTCACAGTTAAGATTTGTTTTATATTATGGAGTTAACCGACTCTAATTTCTATACTTTGCATTCGTAAGACTGCTGCAAACTTACTAATATATATATATATATGTGCGAGAGCGCACCGCGCGGACAGATTCGAGTGAGAAAACGGCACAAGGTTGATATGATGCACGACAGTGAAGAGAACTCCGTTTCATTTAATTTAACAAAAGAATTTCTTTAATGTATTCAGTTACAAAGTCAAAAGATATAATTAATTAAAGATCAGATTAACAGAATATTAAATGCGGTCACCTTTTCCAAATTGAGCTTGGAATCGCGGTGATGGAAAATCTCGGCGATTTTCCTCGAAGCTTCTCGAAAGATTCGGTTATAGCGATTTCACTAAACGGTTAGCACGGCGATTTTACGAAGCGCGACTATGACTCTAAGAACTCTAAGAACTTTTTGGAAGTAAGAAGGAGGACGGCGAGATCGA